GGGGGGGTTGTGCCATCCCGTCCTCACATGGCCCTGCTGTTGGGGGGTGGTATCCTCATAGGGGGCGGCTCCTGGGTTGAAGGGAGGGAGGCAGGTATCTCCCAAGGGCTCAGGCACTCTCTCTCATGCTCTGTTTTATGTGTTTGTTTGACTCCTTCTGCAGGTTGTGAGACCTGCACTCCATCCTGCTGCACAGGTTCATCCACCAGGGAGACCTGGACCTGATCGTTGCCCTGGGATTCCTAACTGTGAATGAGTGATCAATGGAACTCACATCCCAATCCATGTACCAACTCCTTGAGTGGCCCAATACATAAACCACAAGGGCTACTTCTCCATGGTGCTGCAGGCCCTAGTTGACCTACTGACATTTTTAAGTGGTTGGGCAGGGTGCATGATGCCCATGTATTTAGAAACTCAAGCCTCTACAGGAAGCTGGAGGCAGGCACATTCTTCCCCCAGTGTGACTTTGGGGTTGGGGATGTACAGAGGCCATTGTGCATCATGGGGAATGCAGCCTAACCCCTCATGCCGTGGCTCATAAAGCCATACATTGGCCATCTGGACCCCAGCAGGACCAATTCAGTATCCACCTCATCCGGGCCGTATTTAGAAACTCAAGCCTCTACAGGAAGCTGGAGGCAGGCACATTCTTCCCCCAGTGTGACTTTGGGGTTGGGGATGTACAGAGGCCATTGTGCATCATGGGGAATGCAGCCTAACCCCTCATGCCGTGGCTCATAAAGCCATACATTGGCCATCTGGACCCCAGCAGGACCAATTCAGTATCCACCTCATCCGGGCCTGCTTCCTACTGGGTAGGGGGCAAAGTCTGGCCATGAAGGGAGGGCCTTTGAGCAGCCATGGACAGCTGCCATCTTCCAGGCCCATGAGGTGGGGGTGCACATCTGGGAGGCCCCAAGTGAGAGTTTCTCTCAAGGACCCCAGTAACTCTCCTCAGGGCCTCCCCACTAGGGGTCCATGCCTTGCCCCCCATGCCTTTCCCACCACAGCCCCCTCCCTTCTTCCCTTCCCTGAACTCTCAGTAAACACACTTGTTTTGATTTGAACAGAACAAACTTTGTATTTTTTATAATACAATAAACTGGGAGGGAGGGAGGGAGGCTGAGAACCTGGGTGGGGGAGGAAGAAGGGGGGCTCAGGCCTGGGAATGTTGCTGGAAGCAACACTTGGGTCTGGGGACCTCAGCGAACTTGGGGATGAGTGGGGCCTGCAACAACAATTGGTTGTGGGCAGGAGGGGGCCTGAAGCAAGGACAGGGATGGCAGGATGGCAGGGAGAGGAGACACGGGAATAGCAGTGGGCTGGGCATAGGCAGAACAGGGGGAGGGAGCCTAGGCATCGCTTGGAGGCCAGGGAGTGGGGGCCTGGGCATAGTAGGGGGAGCAGGCGGGAAGAAAACAGGAGCAGAGAGCACAGCTGGGTGTGTCATCATTTCCTGCATAATGTCACACATGTTGTTGCCCTGCCGCACAAGTTGGTCCTACATGCGGCTCTGCCATTCAGCATCCTCCCAGACCTTCTGTGCCAAGGTTTGCTGC